CTTAAATTTACCAGTTTAATCATTAGAATGCGATATCTGAGTCACTTTTGTTGCACAGCGTTTTTTCCTGTATGTCATTTATATCCAAATTTATAATTATCAATAGAATACCTTAAAGGTGAATAAACTTTTTTCCTAGGCGGTCGGGTAGGCGTCTTTAAATTAGTAAGATTAAAAATTATTTTAACCCCAAAAACAATAGACAAAAAATATTTTTAGTATAAAAAATCAGGTGAGTCACTTTTATCGCACAGCACTGTATATATACAGAGTGTCCATAAGTTCGTGTGCACTTTAAATTTATAATTTTGAAAAGTGCATACGAACTTTATGGACACTCTGTATATATATATATATATATATATATATATATATATGAAGAAAAATATACAGAAAAAACAAACAAAAATTAACATTAGAACATATTCAAACTCAACATGAAAAAGACGATGGACATAAGAGCACGACTAATCCAAACAGATAACTGAAATTTTTATATAAGATCAGCGTTCCGTTTAAATATGATCAAATTATATTTGCTTATATACTGTCTACTGGAAATACAAACCTGAATTTACTTTATAACATGGAAGACTTCAAGCTTGTACGAAAATATAAGAATCTATTGATCTCCGCGTGATCCTGTAAGAAAGGAAAGGATTTCTTAACGAACTGTTTATATGAGAAGATTGTTACATCGAGCTTATCTAATATTTTGAAATCATTTTTGATTTACTTTATAACATGGAAAACTTCAAGCTTGTATGAAAATATAAGAACCTATTGATCTCTGCGTATTCCTATAAGAACAGAAAGGATTTCTTAACGAACTGTTTATATAAGAAAATAGTTCAATCGAGCTTATTTAATATTTTGAAATCATCTTCGAATACGTTTTCACAACATCGCCCACGTGACGACGACGTGATCATATTTAAACAGAACTCTGATCTTATAAAAATTTTAGTTATCTGTTTGGATTAGTCGTGCTCTTATGTCCATCGTCTTTTTCATGTTGAATTTGTATATGTTCTAATGTTAATTATGTTTTATGAATATGTCCTGATGATGGTCTAAAATAGACCGAAACGTCCGACGTTAACATTGTATTAACATTAATACAGCATAATTGCATATTAAGATTTTTGTTTGTTTTTTCTGTATATTTTTCTTAATACTGTCGGATCTATAACGATATATTTGCTTATATATATATATATATATATATATATATATATATATATATATATATATATATGTGTGTGTGTGTGTGTGTGTGTGTGTGTGTGTGTCTGTCTGTGTGTGTAATTGTCGTCATTTTATATTTTTAATTTCGCGCATGTGCGTTCTTTGTCTTTATTCTTCGACTGCACAGTATTGTAGAATCAATAGTTCAGCGTCTGTATAAAATAGATCATCCTCACTCAATTCCCTTTGACAGAAATTTGGAAAGGGGGTTATGTACTGTCTTGGATTCGCGCCGGAAGCTCCATTACGAATATTTGAGTGTCTGAGTGTCAATGTGAATAATGCAGAGGATTCAAAAAGAGTCGAATGAGTCTAATTGTGATTACGAAGGTGTTTGGAACGATCACTAGTGATGTCAACGTTATGCCTACATTCATCTTCTCACAGGGCCTCAGACTCATCACAGAGATTTACACCAAGATTCTTGAGGGAGTACTGCAGTCCTGGGTCAAGAGGGTGGCTGCTGGGAGACCCTATATCTGGCAACAGAACTTTGCATCATGACATACAAGCAGAAGTACCCAGTCAGAGTTGTCAGACAATTTCTGCGACCACATCACCCCTTACATCTGACAACCAAACTCCCCAGGCTGCACCCCCTTGATTATTATGTGTGGGGTGCAGTTGAGCGAGAGACCCTCCAAACAAATCCTTTTAACACTAAAGATTAGCTGAAAGCAAGAATTAAGGCAGCATTCACCAACTTAAACAAGGAGACCGTCCAGAAGAGTTGCAGGTGATTCTGAATTCGTTTTGCGGCCGTGGTTGAAGCCAATGGCGATTTTATTGAATGAATTTACTCTTTCGTATTTCAAGATATTTCCGTGTAATTTTGGTAAATATATCTGTTAAAATGAAATGTCAGTGTTTTTTTTTTTTCATTTTGGCGTCATTTAGTCGACAATTTATCCATCGCATCCTGTATCTCTGTTAAAATGGGATGTCAATATTATTTTCATTCTGGCGCCATTTTGACGACAATTTATCAATCGCAGCCTGGATATCTGTTAAAATGAGGTCAGTGTTCTTTTCATTTTGGCGTCATTTCGACGACAATTTATCCATCGCAGCCTGTATAAGTACCTCAGTCTCAATACGGAAGCCTACATCAAATACCCCGAGGAAGTAGTGCTGCCCTGGGTCAAGAGGGTGTCTGCTGGAAGACCCTATGTCTGGCCACAGAAGCCTGCACCATGCCACACAAGCAGGAGTACGCAGTCATTGCTATTAGACAATTTCTGCAGCCACATCACTCCTTACATCTGGCCACCTAATTCCCCAGACTGACCCCCCCTTGATTATAATGCGTGGCGTTCAGTTGAGCGAGAATCCAACAAAGATGAACTGAAAGCAAGGATTGTAGCAGTATTCACCAACTTAAACAAGGAGACCGTCCATAAGAGTTGCAGGAGATTCCGAATTCGTTTGGAGACTGTTGAATATTTATTTTTTTTTAATTTTATAATGTAAATATTTATAATATTTTAATTCGTGAGTGATGCATATTTTTTATATTTTAAATAATAGAAGGTTATAAATGTAATATTTTTGTACTCATTTACATTTGGTTGGGAAAGAGGGTATTTCTTTCAGGTACGGAGAAATTAAAAAATTAGACTGACAATGAATGTTATGATCCTTGTTTTTTTTTCAAATTATAAGCTATATAAGATCTTTCTTAAACACGCAAGTACTTTCGACTGTACATTCAGTCATCTTCAGGCATATAAATAATAATTTTAAATAACAAGGATTATAATATTCATCAAGTGGTTAGTAGGTTAATGCATCTTTAAAATTTTGTTTGCGAAAGCGTTTTGCCATTTTATATCATTAACTTTACTAATTTACTTTTTGTATGAATGTTTCATTGTAATATTAATTGAACTTCACCACATATTTGATATATATATATATATATATATATATATATATATATATATATTTATTTAAAAAGATTGCAATCATATTTTAAATAAATAATTACATTTATGCTCTACTTTTGTATCGAGCACTATTTTTAAAAAATACTAAGGGACTTTGGATTATTTACCTAACCAGTTCCTTCCTATTTTCTATATATTTTCACATATATATATATATATATATATATATATATATATATATATATATATATATATATTAGGCCAACGGAAAAGTGTGGGTAGATTATTAAGGATGCTATATGATAAATATAGATTTAGGTATGCTATATTTATGTGTGAAATTACTCAATATCAGTGCCTTCCTCATTCTCGAATACTGACAGTGGTGAATAGGTCACAGTGTATTCTGAAAGATAATCTGTCTTGGCGTTGTCTCATTGTGTCAGGTCCATGCAACCATTGAAAATGTGTTGCACACCCTCAGTTGCTTTACCATTCAGCCTGCAGAATGGTAAATCAGCGGTTCTGTCAATAGACTACTTGATGGAATTTATTCTTAAAGCCAGCATCTACGGTTTCCTTCTTCAAGAGCTAGTCTCCAAGCCATCAGTTGATCAGCCACCTCTTCGATTTCCTCTACAAAGGCTCCGGGCAAGGTCTCTTTTCATGTATCGATTTCTGATCATAGATTATCTTACCAAACTTTTCTTTTCATTCAGAAATGCTTAGCAATGACTACTCTGTAAGTACGCATGTAAATACTCACAGTCTGGAGCTACATAGTCTTCTACTTCAGTCAAAACTTTCCCCCCTCTTTACAGCGTTGAACCTTGCATAATTACACCTACGATGTAAGCATCATTTTCATTGTCAGTCGGTTCAAGTTTGTTCCCTCATTTTTCGTCCATTCAGCAATGCCTGCTACAAACCTCACAACCCCAAATGCTAACTGATGTCTGAAAACAAATTTCTACTCTTTAATTTGGATCTATGTTATGGGATCTTACCCATAATAATAATAATGGACTATTCCATACATTATAAATACTGCGCCTCAGGAGTAGGCAAGGAGTGAGTCGTTCAAGTCGAGTCAGTAGTTCAAGTCGAGTCAAGAGTCGAGTCAGAGGCAGTCCGAAACAGAGTCGCGTTCAGACAATTACTGCAAGACATTGGAATAGTGATACTGGTCGAGACTACATTGTTCTCTCTACTAAAGCTGATTATTCATACTAACACTTCTACTTCTCTATATATATTCCTGTTTGTAATATATCTGTTATTCCATACCTGTGTTCGTGTTCTTCTTTATTGGTTCTACCTTGGACTATCACCGTTGGTACAAGGAACCGGACCATAACAATCTACAAAACATTTTATGCGCTGGATATATATCGTCTCTCTTCTTTCATCTTGCTATTGAGTGTCTTGCCAATCAGTTAAATTCCCAGGAATTCATAAGATCTTCTATCTAACTCCTTCATATATTCCCCCATCGGGTAATCCAATTTCTGCACTATTAACCTTTTTGCCTAATGGTTAAAAGCGTTGGTTTGTGGATTTAGTGACATAGTGGTTGTGTTCATTTCTTGGGTCGGGCAATACTTGTTCTTTGTGAAAACGAGTGAGCAATAAGTAAAAAACACTAAGTAACATAAGAATTAGACAATATCCCCAGACATGGGCAGTGGAACGAGAACAGTCTAACCCTGTAGATTAAATAAAGGGTTCATTTCGGAATTCCATGTACATTACGCGGATCAATATGCACCTGATGAAGGTCGGAAGGCACAATGACCGAAACGCTGTGATAAAACAACAAAGATGAGGACAATAATCTTAAGAGAAATTTCCCGCTGTGAATACTTTATGGTTGATAAAATCTATCTTTCTTTTGTGAGCCTCTAGTCAGCTTTCGTTCCATACTGTAAACAACAGTATGATGATAAGAAATAACAGCGGAGATAGAGATTATTATTATTATTATTATTATTAGTGTTATTTTTATTACTATTATACATGTTATTATTGTTATTATTATTATTATACATATCATTACTATCTATCTATATTTCTGAGATGAGGTATTATGTACACTATTTACATTATTCGGACTATTGTCCTCATCTTTGTCGCCATACTTATTACAACGTTTCGGCCCTTCAGTATCTGTCTCTATTTCTGAGATGAGGTATTATGTACATTATTTACATTATTTGGACTATTGTCTTCATCTTTGTCGCCATATTTATTACAACATTTCGGCCGTTGTACGCTCCAGCCTTCTTCAGGTGGTTGGAATTAATATTCCAAACTCTCGAAGAAGGCTGGAGCGTACAACGGCCGAAACGTTGTAATAAATATGGCGACAACGATGAGGACAATAGTCCGAATAATGTAAATAGTGTATATTATTACTTCTATTATTATACATATAATAATTATTATTATTATTATTACTATTATGTTTTTTCCTTTGATTTCTGGTGTGTACACATTTCTTTTCAGGTCTCGCCCAGAGACCTAAGGTCAGAAATGTCATCATGACATTTTCCACTCACCAATTATAACAAAAAGAAAACACACACACACACATATTTTAAATAGATAAAGCCCTTCGTAAGGTGAGGACTGTACTCGTGAAAACAAGCTTTGGTAATTCTTTAAGGCATAGACTTGCAGGAATCCCTTCAATTAGTCTATTGGAATCTTTTCTTATCAATCCGAGGGCTCCAACTACAACAGGGATTGTTGATGTTCTCATGTGCCACATTTTTGAAATTTCGATTTCAAGGTCCTCGTATTTTGATATTATTTTTGAAGATCTCCAAAGATACATTGACGTCTGCAAGGATTGCTTTATCAATAAGGAAGCAATTTTTCTTTGTTTGCGGCCTCTAATAACAATGTCTGGGCGATTAGTTTTGTTATGTCTGCGTGTCTTTTGTTATGTATTGTGCTGTCCCATAAAATTGTTACTGACCCTATCTCCGTAACCGTGTTTGGGTGTTGTTGTTGTTGTTTTCATTATTATTATATTTTTATTTTATTTTCTTTGATTTCTGGCATTTACACATTTCTTTCCGGACCCCGCCCAGGGAACTAACGTTAGAAATGGCATCATGACACTTTCCACTGACAAAAAAAAAAAAATTACATAGATAAAGCCCTTCGTAAAGTGTGGGCTCTACTTGTGAACAATCTCTTTGAGGAATGAACTTCCAGGAATCCCTTCAATTAGTCTACTGCAATCTTTTCCAACCAATCCTAGGGCTCCAATTGCAACAGGGATTGTTGATATTCCCATGTGCCACATTTTGAGATTTCTATTTCAAGGTCCTTGTATTTTGACAGCTTTTTGAATGTCTTCAAAGATACATTGCAGTCTGCAGGGACTGCCATATCAATAAGGAGGCACTCTTTCTGTTAGCTTTGATTGTTCTGCCAGTGTGTATTGTGTAGTCCCATAGAATTGTAACAGGTCCTATCTCCGTAACCGGGTCTGGTTGGTGTTCATACCAGTTTCTTTCAGTTTCCTTCCCGTAGAATTTGCATATTTTCCAGTGGAGATATTGGCCCACTCTATCATGCCGGGTTTTATACTCAGTGGATGTCAATATTGTGCAACCTGATACAAGTTAAAACTTCATAGAGACTCTGAGGTATTAGAGTGTCTGTAGTAAGTAAGAAAGGTACTTTTTTGGTGCAAGGAATACTATGGTAATTTTGGTTCAGTAAGAATGGTTAGCTAACATTAATTACAATTGTTTCTGGATATTTATCACAGAATCTATATTTATTATTATCATTATACATATTATTATTACTATCATCATTATTATTATTGAAAAGAACTATAATCATAGCAAATGTACTGGCAACGTTCGTCAGTACTAGGCGATTCATCATAAATAGATATTGCTCAACAAACTCCTATTATTAAAACCAGCTTGGCACTGTAGGAGAAATGATGGTAATTGCACTTAAATACCCGTAATGGTAAAACACTAGCTTGGAGATATAACATTAATGTCACTGAGGAATATGTTATGTTATACGAAGCAGCCAAAGAAGAATGGCTGATGAAGTATTTAGTGTGCTAATTAAGCGATTTTCTTGCTTTAAGTTTTGCTGTAATTATAGTTTGATTTTTATATACAGTAGTTCTTTTGTTGTTTTTGCTAATTTGCTTTTATAACGTTTTGTAATGTGCTGATAGCTTTCTTCCAATATTAAACGCTTAAGTACATTAAAATTCTTCCTGAATGTGCTCTGCTCATGTGAAGTGCGTTTCATATACCCGCATGTCTATTATGCTGTCAAATACGATATGGAACGTACAGCGAATTTTAAACGTTTGAAACATTTTAGGAAACGCTATTTAAATGATGTATATAACAATAAGTATAAATACTTTATACAATCTTCTCCGATGTGGTCTAGCTCTACGTAACCGTTTTTACTCGTGACGTCCCTTATCCAATACGTGTACACTTCAATTCTAGCGTTCAAAAATGCCAGGATGTAGCCAATAAAATCTAGGTCAGAGTGAAAGGCAAAAAAAAAAAAGAACTCATCATGATCATCATCGTCATCAGATATTTTGATAACGGTTGCTTGTACAGAGAATATCCAGGAGACTCACTATTCTTACCTACGCAATTTGACATGGAGAAAACTTTTAAACGAATAGCCAAACTTGAACCCTCGTGATTCGAACAGCCAAACATGTAACCCGAGATGATCGCATAAATAATTGATCCAATTGCCTATCAAAACGAATTACAATCACCTACTAATACTCTATTGATAATAACTTGGGACGTTGAGTTGTGGCGTAGATTTGAGACGAGTGGATTGAAATATAAGGACACTGAAGCCCACTGCGAAAGGATTGACCTTCTGATCATTGACGCGAGATGCGACCTCTTGATTGGGTAGTAATCATTTCTAGCATAGGATATTAAATATCAGCTACATCGATTCCGACAACGCATCTGACTAGATTGCAATGACACACTTCCAGCGTTTGATTACGGATTTAATTGGATTAATTAAGTGTCGATGCAATTCAGTTGCCGTTCGATTCGAAGAAAATGTGACAGAAAAGAAGAAAAAATAGATTGGAGCTGCTGGTACAAGGGGGAACGAAAATATGTTAACAGGACACGAATTATTATTATTATTATTATTATTATTATTATTATTGCAAAAACAAATCTGGCCCTGGGAAGAAAGAAATATAACAGGGGTGACAGCAGAAAGTAAAATGGTTAAAAGGAAATAGAAGGATATAAAACAAATTATTTTACATATTTCTCTGTGACTATTATTGAATCGATCGATTTGTGTTCATATCTATTTATCTATCTATCAAACTACGTCTCTTTATATCTAACTATACATCTATCTCAGCCTGCTCATATCTATCTATCTATCTATCTATCTCAATCTGATCATATCTATATATCTATCTTAGTCTACTCACATCTATCTATCTATCTATCTATCTATCTATCTATCTATCTATCTATCTAAGTCTCTTTATATCTAACTATACATCTATCTCAGCCTGCTCATATCTATCTATCTATCTATCTATCTATCTATCTATCTATCTATCCATCTCAATCTGATCATATCTATATATCTGTCTTAGTCTACTCACATCTATCTATCTATCTATCTATCTATCTATCTATCTATCTATCTATCAATCTATCTATCTAAGTCTCTTTATATCTAACTATACATCTATCTCAGCCTGCTCATATCTATCTATCTATCTATCTATCTATCTATCTATCTATCTATCTATCTATCTATCTCAATCTGATCATATCTATCTATCTAAGTCTCTTTATATCAATCTATACATCTATCTCAGTCTAGTCATATCTATCTATCTCAATCTGTTCATATCTATATATCTATCTTAGTCTACACACATCTATCTATCTATCTATCTATCTATCTATCTATCTATCTATCTATCTATCTATCTATCTATCTATCTATCTAAGTCTCTTTTTATCTATCTATACATCTATCTCAGTCTGATCATATCTATATATCTATCTTAGTATACTCACATCTATCTATCTTATTATAATCTATCTATCTATCTATACAACTATCTCCGTCTAGTCATATCTATCTATCTATCTATCTATCTATCTATCTATCTATGTTTCTTCATATCTATCCATTTATCTCAATCTGATCATATCTATATATCTAAGTCTCTTTATATCTAACTATACATCTATCTCAGCCTGCTCATATCTATCTATCTATCTTAGTCTACACACATGACCCAGTGCACATGTTAATACTTCGTATCTCCATTCCACGAAGCCGTTTCTTGCAGATTGACCAGAATCTCGAGTGGATTTAAATCAGGAAATTTTCCGGGGCAGTCTATAGTATTTGCTCACGCGTAGGTCTTGCCAGTGCGTTCGTGTAGTGTTACAATTTTCGTACGCTTCTTCGGAGATAATGGCCTTAGGACAACTAATCGACAGTCGAGACAATAGTGTCTGGTCGTTATAAAAATCAGATGTAATCACGGATGACACAATATTTTTCAAGACCGAACAAATTTCATCATATACTCCGAAAGTAGATTCATATTACTGCACACCACTGCAAATGGCCTAATCTGAGGAAATATCGATATCGATTACACCTCGTCACACCAGTGGATCTAAAACCAACAATATGGTGAAAGAAAGGAAACTAAAGCGGTTGTTTCAATTAATTTGCACAACAGTGTAATTCGGTGTAATGCATACCAAAACCAGTTATGGATGACATATTAGCAACTTTAGGTAGAGCTAAGTATTTTTCTAAATTAGATTTGAAATCGGGTTATTGCCAAATAGAAATAGATAAATGAGATAAGATGAAAACATCTTTTGTTCCCATAGGAGACTTTTTTTTCATTTTAATTGCATGCCTTTTGCATCAACAAACAGGCGTAGTATTTTCCACGAATTAATGTCTGTTGTTTTAAATGGTATGGAAAAGTATGCAGCTGTTTATATAAACGATATTTTAATTTTCTCTGCAACAACGGAAGATCATTTAAAGCATGAACAAAACGTATTTAACCAGGCTACATAGACATAAGCTTAAGTTCAGGCTAGAGAGATGTGTTTTTTTTTTTTTTAAGAAAGAGATACATTCCTTAGATTTTAACGTAAATCCGTACGGCTTTAAGCCTGATAAAGATAAAGTAACGTTAATAGAAACATTAACAATTTCCAAGGCAATTCAATAGGCTCAAGGGGTTTATTGGAATGTCTTCATATTACAGACGCTTGGTTAGGAATTTTTCGGAACTAGCAGACCTACTAGTTTAGTTAACAAGAAAGGATGCCAGGTTCAAGTGGGCGGACAATTGTCAGCGAGCCTTTGATCTTTTAAAAGATAAGCTTAGTTTAGTATCTATGCTCGTTTTACCGGACCTGAATAGGCCATATAAACGTCGATACAGACGCGTGCCTGACGCAATCTCAGTTTGATGAAGTAGCGAGGAAGGAGACAGAAAAAAGACCCTTTATTTTCTATCTCACCGATGAAGCGATGTACGAACCTTCTGGTCGACTATAGAAAAGAAAGCGTTTGCTATGGTTTACGCATTACAAAAATTAGATTACTACCTCCATAATGCGAAATATAAAATATTTACGGACAACAAGCCTCTTCAGAACATTTTGAAGTCGCCAGTACAAAATAAAATGATTCAGATATGAGCTCTTAGTATCGAAGGATATTATTGTAGGGTAGAATATTTAAAACTAAAAGGCGGAAATAATGTATGCGTAGATCTTATATCAAGATCACACAACCCACCAGTTGATAAAGATTTTTAGCCATTAGACAAACCGCGTGCAACAGCAAAATTCTCCAAGCGTGTAACAGCATAATTATCTATCCCACAAAATGATTAATATCTAAAAAGCTACTAAACTGAGTTTCTTTTCTCTAGGGTTTTAGATAAGATTTTTAGCCATCTTGACAGCATTTATCGTAAAAATCAGTGAATAACTCTTTGATTTATTCAGCCAGAAAGAGAACAGATTAAAATCATTATATGTCAGACTCACTGACTTCCCAAATGAGTAATGGTGAGAGGCAAAAGATCATTCAGGCCTTCAGTAATGGTACCAAAATGCATACTCTGGCTTCCATCATCAACGTCCATTCAACAACCATAAAAAAGAACGGTGAATAAGTTTAAAAAAGAGCTTGCAGTAGAGAAGAAAACTTGATCAGGAAGTCACAACGGGAAGAGGGATCATCATTTCAACTTAGAGCTAAAGAGATCAATTAGGAAGTATCCAATTCAATTTATAAGAAGTTTGACACGTGAGAGAAGAGTTTCAGCTATGACAGTCCAAAGAACAATGAAAAGACTTGTAAATGAAATCGTGCGTGAAACCTGTGAAGTATCTTATTACTCCCGGACAAAAAGTTAGAGAGGGCGAAGATCATCTTAAATAAGTTTGAAAATGATACTGGAATATATATATATATATATATATATATATATATGAACTTAATTTCAACCTTTCATAGGCTTCCGATCCTTAGCTATGATTAATTAATGATGAACATGCCATCTTCGTTTATGATCGATTTCTGCACGATTCTTCTGTTAAGTTTGGAGAGTAATAATACACTCATATTTCTCAAAGTAGATTCCAATAGTGTTATAAAAACCTCGGAGAATTCCAGTAAGATATCTTTAATCATTTCTTAAATACAACTTTTCAAACTTAATGTAACAATTAGATAATTTTGCTATTATATCCGGTAGATCATCGAACGTATGAGGAAGCAGTAATTAACTTCAGTGAGTTTGAAGCGCGAGATTTCGTATCGTATAGTCTGGAAGAAAACCCAGTAACAAATGAAGTGAAACGACAAATACAGAACATAAATATTAGTTTAGAGCAAGATGCATATAAGGACATTAAAGAACTGAAACACTGCATTAAAACAGATAACGCGAGTGTTAAGGAAAGGAAGGGAATAAGTATGTTCTGCTAGAGGATATACTTTACTATCTATCAAATCCAGACAAGGAACCTACCGTACGATTATATGCTCCATGTGAAGATTATACGGCAATATCATAATGAAAATGGAGACGTAGGAAAAGAGTGTGGGAGCTATGAGGTGCAAATACTTTTGGCCTGGCACGTAAAAGGTGTTTCATTAAGACGGATTATATATTAGGGTGTTTCATTAAGAGGGATCATAGTCAGCAGCAAATAAATCAGTGTTATCGGTGAAAATTTATTTATTTCTCTATTGGATCATGTTATTTAAGTCATGGCAATTATGTGTGAAAAATAATATCGCGCAAATATCCGCCAAATCTGAAAGAAAAAGAAAAAAATAGACGCTTAAACTTAATTCATATTTAAAATCGATCCAAGTTATTGGAACATCATTTATAAGTTCTGTAGTGTCCTGTCAAATTAAAAAAAAATGAATCTCAAAATCAAATTTAATAAGAACATTCGCTAAGAGAGATGGATCTTTTTAAGGGACTACTGTTTTCATGGGTTGTTTTTCTTGAGCTCTCCTAATAAACTTCCTGACATATCTCAAGTAAGGAGCGCTTTCAATTCAGGAATAAAACTCTCTTAGGTTAAACCTAACAAAATCTTGCTTCGAGTTATTTACAGTTTTTAATTTGGGAAAAAGATAATAAAAGAGATATTATTCTGAGAGATTGTTATAAAGGGTGTTTCATTAAGACGAATTATATATCAGGGTGTTTCATTAAGACGAATTCTATATAACGGTGTGTCATTAAGGAGGATCAAAGTCAGAAGGAAATAAATCAGTTTTATTAGTGAAAATTTATTTGTTTCTCTATTGCATAATGTCGTTTAAGTCATCGTAACAGTGTGTGAAAAATAATATCGTCCAAATATCCGCCAAATCTGAAAGAAAAAGAAAAAAAATCAATAGACGCTTAAACTTACTTCACATTTAAAATCGGCCCAAGTTATTGGAACACCCTTTATATAAAGACACCGTAAATGACATTACTACGTGCATCCCTTGTTAATCTAGAAATCCCCAAAATGTATATCCCAGAATGCAAAAAACTCACCTGCTCTATACGCCTTTGTTAAGATTGCACTTGATGTATTAAGACCTTATTCTTACTCATTATCAAGGAATCAATACATAGTTATTTGTATCGATTTCGGTAGCGGATTGCCTGAGGTATTTGCGATTCCTAATAAAAAAAACAAATGGTGACGTCATCGGTCATTTTTTGATAGATTAAATTTTTCAACGAACCTGATGTCTGGTCTGATCTTCAACTCAGCACTCATCTCACGAAACCTTTCACTTTAACTGTGATTCATTTGCATTTTGAAGAAATAAAATTGATTTCCTGACTTCACAGTGTTTTGGAGATATTTTAAACTGAATTTAAGTTGTTTTTTTTAATTCACAATTTTTTTGTGTTACTTTAAATTCAATATATATTAAAATCTTTTAAATCACTATTTTTTTTTTCAGTTATTTTAAAATTTGAATTTTTAATCCTTCTATATTCATCCAGGCGCAAATTCCAATATTGGATGTTCATGCACCAGATGAAGGCTAGATTTTAAATCCTGGGATCATGCGCATTCCAGACAGGTATAATAGGTCTATACAGAGCAAGTGTGGCTCGAGTTACAAGGGTTTTAGACACACGGACGGAGAGACAGAATTTGCCTTTAATTTATTTAGATTTGCAAAATTTAAATAATATGCTGTACATCAAAAGTTAAGAATAAACTGTTCCAAATTCAGTATTTTTTAAAATTTTATTTAAGTACTATTTACTATTTCAGTTATTAGGAAAAATAGGACGCTGTCATTATGGTAAACAAGATTTTTTTAACTAAATCCTGATGAATTCAAATCCCTGGAAATACAATTGAAACCAGTTAACGAAGACGTCATATGCAACAATTAAACGGTGAAGTTTTTATCCGACACTAGCAGCATGGCCCGGCGTTGCCCGGGCTTGATTCAAAAATCGTACGACTCATATAGCAATCGCTATCACTTGACTTAAAATGTTTTTGCCCTTCCTTGCCTTTAAAGGAGCGCCCTTTGCCGTGCTGATGTTGCTACATGCCTTACTTCTTGCCTATCTCACACTGCAAATGTTTTCTAAGCTCTATACTAAACATTAAATCTGTTAAGAAAAGAAGAACTAAACAAAATGAACACAAAACGATCAGCTTTAAAAAAGGACTCGTAACTGGAAAAACCGAATGAAAAAAGAATGTTAACAACAAATACTTTTTCACACCCAACCCAGTTCTGCGGAATCAGAATCAACGTTGAGTTTAAGCAAACGAATGAGCCAATTGGAGTAAAGTACCATGCAGATTTAAATTTGTCCAACTTGTGACGAATGCAGCTATCTACTTTTTTTTTTTTGCATGCTAGCATGCTAGTTAATATTCGTGTCAGTCAGCTGTTGGCTCTCACGCTGAATCTTCCTGCCTATTCGTGGCAGCTATAGGCTCTTACTCTGGCCTGTAGAAAATGTCCGCAAACTACATAAAAAGTGCCGTAGAAGCATGAAAAATCGATTATTTCCACTATCGATGTGAGTTGGGAAATGCAAAGTCGGTCTTGCCCTTTCTACTATCTTGGAGCATGTGCATGTAAATTTTGGTGCAAATTCGTCGAAAATTGCGGCCGTGCATTCGTTAGACACACACACACACACATCTTGCCTTTTCTAGATAGAGATTTATGGGATTTTATTTTTATGTTTAACGAAACGAATTAAATGCATCGAATGCACATTAAATTTGTTATGCACACATAATTATAACATCTGCGGTTTTATTTACTGTGGGTTGAATTTAGAATTGTAATGGCTTCTAGAATATTTAGTCTTGATTTGCAAGGAGTCCTGAATAATATTGGCGTGTAAATAGTGATCAGTACACCAAAAAAAAAAAAAAAAAAAAAATGAATCGTACAATTATTAACTTCAGACAAATTTTAATATCTAATACGAATATACTCACACACACACACAAATACAGACACACACACACACACACACACACACAGAGATACAGACACACACACACACACGTATATATATACTCAAATCTCTGGGGTAGAAATGTGAGTCTGTAAACAGTGACTATTATTGCTACTAATGCAATACTCTTTGATAAAACGAATTCAAATTCATCCCTGCCGTGCGCCAACGACTTAGGGGTAGATTTCCGACTGACGCCAATTTGGGTTTTGATATATATATATATATATATATATATATATATATATATATATATATATATTAATAAGTTCATAAAAAATAAAAATTTACTGAATCAGAAAAATGAAATAGCTATTCTTTGCCGTGATTGTCAAAAATTTTCCTTAAATAATATTTAAGAATAAAAAAAAAATGTAAGCTGGTAATATACATACTTATATTTGATATGAAAAAATAATTTTAAATAATTTAAGTAATTCTATTACATTATCAAAGATAAAAATCGAGATGAGCTGCTGAATCTTCGGAATGAGGTATTCTCTAAATGTAGACATAAGAAAGGTTTCAAAACTTGAACACCGTTGTGTAACATGTTGTCACTTATGTCGGCTCCATCTCGGTCCTATAACATCGGGCATGACATTTTAATTGTATGACTATTATGTTTATCTCTAAATGTACCTTTGTGCACGTTTATGTGATGCGCTATGTATTTATATATATATGTTTGTGTATGTGTGTGCATGTATGTATATGTATGTATATGTATGTGTATGTATGTGCATGTATGTGTATGTAGATATATATATATATATATATATATATATATAAAAAATTTTTTTTTTTTTTTTTTTCATACACGCGCAAATATTTGAATCGTCACTTATTTAGATTTTAACTTTTTATATATATTTACATATGTGTATATCTCTGTGTGTATTTGTATGTGTATGTGTATGTGTGTGTATATGTGTGTATATTTGTATGTATATGTATGTATGTGTATATATGTGTGTATGTATGTAAGTGTATATATGTACGTATGGAGTGTTTATGTTATGTATGTATATGTATAGGTGTGTATGTGTACTTATGTGTATACATGTTTATGTGTGTGTGTGTATGTGTGTGTGTGTATATATACATGTGTAAGGGTGTGTATGTATTTGCATGTGTATATATATACATGTATAAGTGTGTATGTATTTGCATGTGTATATATACATATGTAAGGGTGTGTATGTATTTGCATGTATATGTATGTGTATATGTGTGTATGTGTGTGTATATGTATGTATGCGTGTATATATGTATGTATGTGTGTATATGTATGTGTGTATGTGTATGTGCGTGGATGTATGGGTATATGTGTGTATATATATATATATATATATATATGTATGTATATGTATATATGTATGTATAGGTATATATATATGTATGTGTGTATGTATGTATATGTATATATATGTGTATGTGTATGTATAAGTATGTATGTATGTATGAATGTATACATGGGGCATATGTATGCGTGTATATGTATGTGAAAAGTGTGTGTATATGAATATAGATGAATATGTGTATGTGTGGATATGTGAATATATTTTTAGGTTTTTGTATATATATATATGTATGTATGTTTGTGTATGTGTATGTATGTGTATATATATATATATGTGTATATATATATATATATATATATATATGTATATATGTATGTATATGTATATATATGTGTGTATGTGTGTATGTATGTGCATGTACACGTATGTCTGGGTGTGTGTGTGTGTACATGCCTAAGTGTATGTACCTACTTGTATATGTTTTTTTTTTTTTTGTGTGTATTAGTATGTGTTTTTGAACATAGAAATATTTGGTCCTTGCGAAATGAGACAATCGTTATATTCATCTTCATATATTTATATTTGATTTTAAATTTTAAGTAAACACAATTTTATTTTCCTTCGTCCCATCCCTCTCCCTCACCCTTTCCCTTTTTTCTTTTTTTTTTTTTTTTTTTCCTTCCTATCCGAATCGTCTGTGGTGTGTATATGTCACCACGAAATGTATCTTTTATGTATTAGACATCCGTCGACTTTCTTTCTCTCCTTTTTTAAATCCACCCCACCCACATCTCCAAAAATTCTCTCTAAGGTTTCATGTCACTCATCCTCATACTTACACTTTCTCTAAATTCTGTTTTGATTTCCGGAGTTGTTTTTTTTCTGTTTTCATTTTGAATTTGTAGGTCTGATGATTTGGATCGTATTTACGATTCCAATGGAATAAATTATGACCATGGAATATTAGTGTTTAAGCCTTTTTTATATATATATATATATATATATATATATATATATATATATATATATATATATATATATATAAATATCAATCAGAACACCGGATTATATATCTTACTGTTTTTTATATATATATATATATATATATATATATATATAATATGTGAAAATATATAGAAAATATGAAGGAACTGGTTAGGTAAATAATCCAAAGTCCCTTAGTATTTTAGTTATTATTTTTAAAAAAATAGTACTCGATACAAAAGTAGAGCATAAAAAAGATCCCAAAAAAAAATTTCGCTTGAAGATGGAACAGAGCTTACTTTAACTCAATTTAATTTAAATAATTATATTGAAGTTTTCGGCTCTTGTTTTGAAACATGAAACTTCTTATGTCGCGATTTGGAATCATATTTTAAATAAATAATTATATATATATATATATATATATATATATATATATATATATATATATATAGAGAGAGAGAGAGAGAGAGAGGAGAGAGGAGAGAGAGGAGAGAGAGAGCACGGTGGAGTAATTGACAGCGGTTCGGATTGGGGAATCGGAGAGTCGAGTTCGAATTCAGTCGAATCCATTACATTCACTTACGTGCTAATAACCTTGGGAAAGATATGAATCTTCTTCTTCTCCCGCGCCAGCTATGGGTAAATAACAGGCCAGAGTCTACTGGTAGAAAAGAAAATGCCAACTTACTGCGGGAAAACAAATCTGCCTCGTCAGTCATGTATCGAAAGATTCATGGTTGTCTAAGCGTGTATCACGCATGGCACTGAATTGTCGTCCAAATGACGCAAAAATGAAAATAACACTGACATCTCATTTCAACAGATATATTTACCACAATTACACAAAGATATCTTGAAACACTAAAGAGTTGATTTATTCAATAAAATTGCCATTGGCTTCAACCACGGCTTTTAAATGACTAGGGAATCTCCTGCATTAAGTTGGTGAATGCTGCCATAATCCTTGCTTTCAGTTCATCTTTAGTATCACAGTTGATCTCTCGCTTAACTGCGCTCCTCACATGAAGGGGTTTCCAGTCTGGCGGCCAGGTGTAACGGTTGATTGGTCGCAGAAATTGTCTGACAGCCACACGTGCGTTCTCCTGCTCGTGTAGCATGGTGCACAGTCATGTTGTTCGACATAGGGTCTTCCAGCAGCCACCCTCTTGACCCAGGGGAGCACTACCTCTTCAAGGCATTTGATGTAGCTCCTTTTTGAGTCTGAGGCCTTAACCAACAAATTCGGTAGTTCTTTTCTTATCACAACGATCAGAGTGAGATGTCCGGGCTGTCCTACCTTCGTAATCACCATTAGACTCACCCAACTCTTTTGGATTCCTCTGCATTTTCCTCAGATTGTAACCCAAATACACTGAAATGTTCGGATTGGAGCTTCTGATGCGAATACCGAACAGTACAGCATGCCGTTTCCATATTTCTGGAGGAATGAATTTCGTGCCTCAAAGACAATGCTAAAATTACCCTACTATTTTGTGAAGTCTACAAAATAGAATAAAAAACACGCGCATGCGCGAAATTAAAAATATAAAATGTCCGTATCTGATTATTTGTCGTAATATATTTCTAGCCATCGATCTAATTAAATAATTTTCTATCTATGAATTTATATTAGTCTATTCCTAACTTTTTATATAAATCAATCTGTCTCGCTATCGATCGATCTATTTCATTCTATTCCTAACACTTTATACAAATCTATCTATCTATCTATCTATCTATCTATCTATCTATCTATCTATCTCTTTCATTTTTTATCTATCTATCCATCCAAGTCGTTTTACTATCTATCTATCTATCTATCTATCTCAGTCATTTTATTATCTATCTATCTATCTATCTATCTATCTATCTATCTATCTATCTCTTTCATTTTTTATCTATCTAGCTAGCTATCTCAGTATATTGGTAACTCTTTATACGAATCTCTCTCTCTTCATGTCTTTCCCAGTCTTCTTCTCTTTATACAAATCTGACTCTCTTTATCTCTATCCGTATATTTCTATCTTTGTCTCTTCCTAATTCTTTACACAAATCTCTCTCTATCTCTATCCCTACCTATCTCAATCTATTCCTAACTCTTCATACCAATATTTCTCTATCGATATATCTATCTCTATATCTATGTATGTATACATTTATCTATTTATGTATGCATCTATCTATATCTATCTATCCATCTATCTATCTATCCATCTATCTATCTCAGTCCGTTCTTATCTCTCTCTCCATCTATCTATCCATCTATCTTTCTATCTCTGTTCATTATCCATCTATCCATCCATCCATCCATCCATCCATCCATCCATCTCAGTCTGTTCTTATCTCTCTCTCTCCATCCATCCATCCATCCATCCATCCATCCATCTATGTTCATTATCTATCTATCCATCCATCCATCTATCTATCTATCTCAGTCTGTTCTTATCTCTCTCTCTCTATCTATCTATCCATCTATCTATGTTCATTATCCATCTATCCATCCATCCATCTATCCATCCATCCATCCCAGTCTGTTCTTATCTCTCTCTCTCTCCCATCTATCCATCTATCTATCTATGTTCATTATCTATCTATCCATCTATCTCAGTCTGTTCTTATCCTCTCTCTCTCCATCCATCTATCTATGTTCATTATCCATCCATCCATCCATATCATCCATCCATCTATCCTCAGTCTGTTAACATCCATCCATCCATCCATCCATCCATCCATCCATCCATCCATCTCAGTCTGTTCTTATCTCTCTCTCCATCCATCTATCCATCCATCCATCCATCCATCCATCTATCTTTCTATCTCTGTTCATTATCCATCTATCCATCTATCATCCATCCATCCATCTATCTCAGCCTGTTCTTATCTCTCTCTATCTATCTATCCATCCATCCATCTATCTATCTATCCATCCATCCATGTCACCATCCATCCATCCATCTATCTATCCCAGTCTGTTCTTATCTCTCTCTCCATCTATCCATCCATCCATCTATGTTCATCCATCCATCCATCCATCTATCCCAGTCTGTTCTTATCTCTCTCATCTATCTATCTATCCATCCATCTATCTATCTATCCATCTATCTATGTATTCATGTTCATCCTATCATATCATCTCAGTCTGTTCTTATCTCTCTCTCTCTCTCTATCTATCTATCTATCTATCTATCTATCTATCTATCTATGTTCATTATCTATCTATCTATCTATCTATCTATCTCAGTCTGTTCTTCTCTCTCTCTCTCTATCTATCTATCTATCTATGTTCATTATCTATCTATCTATATCTATCTATCTATCTATCTCAGTCTGTTAATATCTATCTATCTATCTATCTATCTATCTATCTATCTATCTCAGTCTGTTCTTATCTCTCTCTCTCTCTCTATCTATCTATCTATCTATCTTTCTATCTCTGTTCATTATCTATCTATCTATCTCAGTCTGTTCTTATCTCTCTCTCTCTCTCTCTATCTATCTATCTATCTATGTTCATTATCTATCTATCTATCTATCTATCTATCTATCTCAGTCTGTTCTTATCTCTCTCTCTCTATCTATCTATCTATCTATCTATGTTCATTATCTATCTATCTATCTATCTATCTATCTATCTATCTATCTATCTCAGTCTGTTCTTATATCTCTCTCTATCTATCTATCTATCTATCTATCTATCCATCTATCTATCTATCTATGTTCATTATCATCTATCTATCTATCTCAGTCTGTTCTTATCTCTCTCTCTCTCTCTATCTATCTATCTATCTATGTTCATTATCTATCTATCTATCTATCTATCTATCTATCTATCTATCTCAGTCTGTTAATATTTATCTATCTATCTATCTATCTATCTATCTATCTATCTATCTATCTATCTATCTCAGTCTGTTCATATCTATATCTATCTGACAGCACATATCTACATCAATATATATACTTTAGCTATGCTATATCTCCAATTAATTAAATAACCAGTTTTTTTTTTATTTGTCTTCTTTCATTCTCCTAGTTCCCTCTCTCCCTTCATGATTTTTTTTCTTTGTCTGCTTTTGGTTTTGTCCGTTTCCTTGTTTCATTCATTCCAACCAGCCTCCTGCCTTTTTGCGTCTGAGAAACAACAGGCGCCCGTGAATAAAGCTTCTCCAAATGAAGCAATGAGTGAATTAACACCGATGCAGCTGCATCTTTTAGCGCAGCCAATTGCAAAATCTCGCAGAATGTTGCCTACCATTTGCAATACAAAGACTGACACAACCATTTTATTTGTCGCCATTGCCAACGTCATACTTTCATTAGCTAATTTGCATTGAATACTTTTAGGGTCTTTCATAGTTTTTGTTTCGAAAATAAACGAGGATTCAGTTATTTTAGAAAATGCAAAAGACGAGGACATTTAATTACCATTTTTAAACTTACCACGCTCACACACATAACACACACACAAGCACACACGTTTTATATATACATACACACACACACACACACATATATATATATATATATATATATATATATATATAATAATAATAATAATAAAGGTAAAAAAAATCCGTTGGTATATAATCTAAGTGGATCCTAGTAATATAAAACACAGTGTGTCCATTTGTATTTGTGATAGAAATAATTTGTAAAAGGGATTAGAAAGAAGTACATTTTTAAGCTTTTTATTGAAATTTTATTAAGTTTCCACGTGTACGTTATGGATATCTGTATATATATATATATATATATATATATATATATATATATATATATATATATATATATATATATAGGAGTCCATAAAGTTCGTGTGCACTTTAAAAAATTATAACTTTATTTGTATTTGCGATAGAAATAATTTGTAAAAAGCATTAGAAAGAAGCAAATCTATTTTTTAAGCTTTTATTGAAATTTTATTAAAGCTTCCAGATGTCCTCCATCATTAGCAATACAAAGGGTAATACGATTTTGCAGTTCACGGAAAACATTTGCAACTGTTTTACAGTAATGCCTGAAATTACGTTAGTTATTCTAGCAAAACTTAAAACTAGGTACATTAAACTAGGTACATTAAACATTTTTTACAGATTATTTCTATCGCAAATACAAATAAAGTTATAAATTTTTTGAAGTGCACACGAACTTTATGGACACCCTGTATTAAACCTGATCCACAAAAAGAGCTCCATGTATTCTTACAGAGCGAATAATTAATAAACAAAAAAATCTAAAATCACTTCATATGGGGAATAGACTACTTCGGAAAACAAAGGTATCGGTCGTCTGTCTTATCAACCCCGGTGTGGAGTGAGTTAATATCAGAAATAGAAATTTAACTGTGAAAGGTAAAAAAATGAAAAAGTTTAATATGAAAATAGAAATTAAAAAGGGTTTAAAAATAACTTTAAAATTTCTTTTTATCTCTCTTTTAATTTTAAATTAATATTTCATTCTTCATATAACCACAAATTATAAGGTTAATATTTGGGTTTAATTTTATTAAACTTCTTCCTTTTAAGACAAATACCTTTCACCTTCTCCTGATCTCGTGCCTTTCGTCTGACTGAAACATTGAAATTGATAAATTCTGTATTGGCTTTCACAGTTAAGTTTCTATTTCTGAAACAAACTCAGTCCACACAGGAGTTGGTAAGACAAACGACTTTTTTTTCCGTCTGTCGAAATAGGCTATTCCCTATATGAAGTGATTTTGGACTTTATTTTTATTAATTATTTGCTTTTTAATAATAAATACATTGAGCTCTTTTTGAGGATCAGTTTTAACATTTTATATTACTAGGATCCACTTGGATTATATATCAACTGATTTGTTACCTTTATTATTATTAATATATATATATATATATGTGTGTGTGTGTGTGTGTGTGTAACATTCTTTTTATGGATACAAGTATTTTAGGAAAATGCTCTGTTTATAATAAACAGTATTAAATAACATTTACCGGCCTGAATGTCCGAGACAGTTTCATAGAAAATATTCGTCCTTTAACAGGATTCGAACCTGCATCCTATACGGAACCGTCATTTAGTTCGACGTGCCTAACCTCTCGGCCACAAAGGATCGTTCGGTTGGCAAGGACGAATTTACTGCTTAAAGATTGAAGTGTATAAGCAGTAAATTCGACCTTGCCAACCGAACGAAAATGTCTTTAATAAATTGTCGGACTTTGTCCATTTCTTAATGTATATATGTGTGTTAGAGTACAGAAATTATTTTGTAACCTAACACGTAATTATTAGCTGAATCTGAAATATTCATATAATGTACGGTTTAATATCCACCACTGAATTAGGTGCATAGGCAAAGGGGGGAATATGTTATAAAAAGCATTTCTCAGTAAAATTATTACTTTTTCTTGATAATTAGGCTATTGTATATATAAAAAATTTTATTAAATTCAATATAAAGTGTGACAACTATCGCCCGATTCACACTCACCCGGTAGATGTTTACCCGTTGTTACCTGTTTAGCTCCTTCTGAAATCTTTTCATATTTTTCATATATATTTTATATATATATATATATATATATATATATATATATATATATATATATATATATATACTATCTATATTTTCATGTTGTCTGTCTGTGTGGTCTGTCGTGGGCGTTGTTACCTCGCCCAGGCCGCATTTCTCACCCGATTTCTATGCGGTTTTTACCACAAGTTTGCAAATGGCTGCCTTAAGGACATGACGCAGACCGATTTTTCAGTTTGGACTCAGGTTCCGAAAAAATCGATAATCAAAAAAATCTGCTTACAGAAGGAATTATTGCATTTCAACCAAATTTGACACCCTCTTAGAGTCCATCTATTAGAAGTGTTGTCCAGTAGTTTCATAACCACGGACCCCTAATCAGCGCGGAAAATCGATAAAACC